TTAACAGCAATAGATAATACTTCTTTAAACGAAGAAGAAAGAAAAAGAGCTAATAAAAGATAGCAGAAGAATACTGAAATAGAAATATCAACTAATCAGAAAAAATTAGACATAGCAAAACACCAGAAAGAACGAGAAGATAGAACAAAGGAAAACAAAGTAAATATAAGATACATAGAGTAATAACAAGTAGTGTAAACGAAGCAAGCTCCTCATGGAGTGATGACTTTGCTACAGAAGATACAAAGTTCCAAGAACAGCATGACAAATTTACAAACCGAATTTTAAAAACAAGAGATCTGAAAGATCCTACACAAACTTTGCCAATTACTGGAGAATTTAGTGTCCAAGAACAAGGAATAATTATGCATAACATAGAAGCATTAAAAATACTGAAACTACCCACAGTACAAGCATGGAATTCATAGTTCAATTCTTATGTAACTAGATGGGGAAGTACCTCTAACAAAAAAGAAGAACCACTAGCGAAATGAGTAATAAAAGATAATGCAGTAAAACAAACAACTAACCAAGAACAACAAAATAATACAAGCTTCTATCAGGATAGAGTAACCTCTATGGAAAATAGAAGAATACATATACTCACATGCGTAAATATACAAAATGAAGCAACTACAATAACTCAACCACCGCCAGTGTTACTACTGTCTATAAGATCAGTATATAATCCTAGAACAGGAAACTCAAGTAGCTCTAGTTCCACAAAGAGTATAGAGCAATCTACATCTAATGTAGAAACTACTTCACCAAAGAAATCAAGAAGTAACCAGTATGTGTATAATAAAGAAATAATGAACCTAAAGCATTTATACTGGAAACCTAAGAAAAAGAAAATAAGTAATCTAAAGTTACATAAAGAATTAGATCACGTACCAAACAAAATAAGGCAATGAATATTACCAACTATGGGACCAGGAATACCTGTGTATACTGTAAAAGAAATAAGATTGCGACCTTATACTTTTATAGCTATACCTATAATACCAAATA